TTAAATGGAGTTGATCTGATTTTTAGTGTGTCCTGGTGTCTGGTGAAATCCATGTCGCTCGCTTTGTGAATATCCTTGTGTTTTTACACATTGCCTCCAATCACCAAATCGTTGGACGCGCAGAAGTCTGCAAATAGTTCTCCATTCTCATTCATCAACTCACCGAGTGCTTGTCTACATTTGACGAGTTCTCTTTCTGTGCTGTCCACTCCGAGTTTGACATTCCTGTCACCCACTAGAATTTCTATGTCTTCAACTGGAGTCTTGTCCATTACTGATTGCAGTTGTCTGTAGAATTCCTCCTTCTTCTCTTGATCCGCGTTATTTTTAGGTTCGTAGTGTAGCATTGTATGATTGTGACTTTCCTTCTTTTTCAGTTGAACCTTCCTGTCATGATCCTGGAGAAGAAGATTGTTTCCCACTGCATGAGAGCCTTCAATGTTCTTGGAGATATCATGATAGCCATTCCAAAACTCAGTGTGCTGTGCTCGTGGTTGTCGTCCGCGTGACAATATCGGAGTAGATTATTGACTCTTCAGTTGAGTATGGAGAGTCCACTTCCATTGCATCTGCTGTTGCAGATTTCAAGCACTTCCATGCCATACCTCCTCATCTCTTTTGCAATCTGGGCAGCCTTGCTAGGTTTATTGTTCAGACATTGCATGTCCCCACGTTTACTTTCGTTTTCATCGAGAGAAGACACACCGGCTAATTGTCTGCCTGAAGGCTTTCACTAATCAGCCTCATTTTGTCTCCCAGATTCCAGCGAGGAATAAATTTTATTTAATTTATATATTTTTCCTGTGCTTTGAAGTTTCTTTAGCGATTGGATTGGTTTAATGGGGTAGGGTTGCTAGCTTTATGCCTAGCCTCCCCTCTTTATCCGGGCTTAGGACCAGCTGGTAAATAGTGAACTAGTTAATCAGACAAGGTTGGACTGTGTTACATACATTAGCCTTTTAAATTTGTTTGTGATGCAGATGGATTGTTGAGAGATTTTAGAAGTAACGACTTATGATGAGTCACACTAGTGTAGATGTGTTGGTGCCAAATGTCATCTAAACTCATCGTGCCTGTATATGTTCCCTAAATCTTGTTTTATCTGTACGTAAATTTATATGAAATGTGGTATTGTGATTCAAAGATGGCCTGAACACCTACTACGTATGCCAAGTCACTGCTTACCTCAATGTGCCATATTGTAGGAAGGTGGGTTGGTTTGGTAGAGTGTTAGGGATGCCAGACCAAGATTTGACACCAGTCCATAAAGTCTCTGACTATTGGTCTGATTCATATGAGGAAATGTAGACAACCTAGTTGTAGTCTCCGAGACAATGAGTATGTTACTATTCGATCAGTATGAACTTTGATATGAAATTACTATTGATGATGTCATCAAACTTAGTGATCGACTACCTACAACAAATACCAAAATCTCGTGGGATACCGAACTGTCGTCGTTCAGGATCTTATTTCAAAGCTGACAGTTATGTTATGGAACCACTCACAAATAGGCAACCAATCCTTATAACTGCTGAATTAAGTAGGCAGAACGTATATATATATATATATATATAGGATGAATTGTCAACCCTTCGCGTCTTGGCATTACTTCTGCTCATGATATTTGTCATTACTCATAATTTTCAATTTTTCTATCTTCAATTCTTTGAGAAGACATTGATGCTGGTTATTGATAATCTTAATTCATGGAGAACACGAATCTCTTTCCTTCGAATACTCTTTCTTGATGCATCTGTATGTGTATATGTGTATGTATATGTGTGAGCCTTTTTTTTTTAGCATGAGTGAGTCTTCCTACTTTCTCTCTGTCTATCTCCTGTACATAAACCAGTTGAAAAATTGAGAACCAGGAAAATTGAGTGAAGTGATGTTGAGACAAAAGAACGAATCGTCATCAACATAATAATAATAATAACAGTAATAATAATAATAATAATAATGACAAATGATACCATTAATTAAATTTATGTGGAAGATGGCATTTTATCGCTTGACTTGAGTAATCATTATTTAGTTAGTAGGCAGATTTGTCCTCACTACTACTAACTGGGTATACTGTCAATAGACGCATATACATATGTGTATGTTCATTACTCATATTCCTAATGAAGTGATCATTACTTTATGTGTGTTATTCCTCTTTAGTTTCGATAGGAAAATAATGAAACAAGTAATCCAGTTGTATTATATTCACGATGTCGATTGTTTAACTATGCACATACACGTATATACGTATACATATGCTTACAGTGTTCCCTAATTTCATCTTTGCGTTATCATATGATAATGATAGTTTTAATTTTACCAAGATGTAATTGTATACAGTAGACAGAGAGTTAAATAAATTGAATTAGATAAAGTAGGAAGAAGAAGTAGAAGTAGACAAAGATATTCAACAATGAATGATGAGGTTTCGTCATCTTATCACAGTTTGATCATATCCTTGGTATTTGATCTTTCTTCTAGAAGACATGAAGAAAAACAGAACAGTTTATTAACATATAGTCTCCTTTTTCCTTATTCTATTAATATACAACATTGGATTAGTTGCTTTCTACTGATCAATTAAAGTATGTAATCCAGTCATACTGGAGGTCAGTCAAAGCCAGGATGACTTAGTGGCAACGTCTCTGATTGTGATACAGGTGTGTCTTCACTTCTGTCCAGGTTATAGATATGTCTTCTAGACGAGTGTGAAAAAGCATGAACCCTAAGTAGACCAAAGCTTATTGCACACTGCGTCTGTCCAACTGAGATACTTTTAATCTGTTATTATCCCATCAATATAAGAGTAAAACTTTGGCAATATGGTTGATTGTAATTCCATTTTAGTCTGTTTATTAGAAATATCACACAATGAAGGAACAGTATGATTTACTGGATAACCAAATCTGCGTTTATCAAACCAACACTAAATACACGCAGTAATAGAAATGACTCTGCACCTGTCCAAGATATATGGAAAATTCTACTACCATTGTCATCACAGAGAAGGAGAGAAAATTAGGAATAGCTCTGTCTTGAAGTTGTGGAGTTGGTTACCTTACATGAATATGAACAATAAATTGTGTCCGGAACGTAATGCAGTCAGAGATACTGTCTCTTCATTGTGGGATATTCCTAATAAACAGACTAAAATGTTATATATATATATATATATATATATATATATATATATATATATATATATATATATATATATATATATATATATATATAGTAGAATCTGTAAATCACAATGTTGTAACAGGGGAAGCGGCAGCCTCCTTGAGCCGTATGGGGAGATGTAGACTATCTGGTTACTGTTATTTATTATTATTTGTCCCTTGAGTTCCTAGTGGAATATACGGCTTCAGTAGCACATCTCCATTCCACTTTCTTCCTTCCAATCTTTCCAACCTGGCTCCACCACTGCCCACAAGCTCTTATTTTTCCTCACACCATCTCATCCATATCACCATTGCATCGGACGCAAAACTCATCGTTTCCCATCTGGGTTAAACTTGAGTGCCTGGCATGGCCTATCGCGTGATGTCTCCGAGTGGTCTTCTCAGAGCATGCCCAATCCAATCCATCTACACTTCCTTCTATATATTTGTTGAGCGATAGCTTATTGGTTGGTTCGTTGTCAGCCAGAGTGAGTTCGTTGTTGCTTACTCTTATTAATCTGGTCATCTGATCTTCAGTGTCAGTATTGAACCAGCGTAGGTGGTAGTTGTTGATGAATATCTGTAGTTTGTTGGAGATGCCTTTCATAATAAACCAAGCTTCTCAAACATCACATAAAAGCACTGACTTGACTGGATTGGTGTTGAAAATCTGGATCTTGTTCACGCTTTATGCTGAGTGCAGAAGATCTCCACACTGGTTTCAGGTTGATGAACGCCTGTCTTGCTTCTCCGATCCTGGCTGATTTGATGATCTCATCTGTACCACCACAGCCCGTAGTTGAAACGATGCTGCCTAGGTAGGTGGGTAGGTGAAAGAGACTACTTCCTTTAGGTTTCTCTCGTTGACGGTGATTGGTGCTTGTTGTTGTTGATGCTGTTGTTGATTAAGTATCTCCACCTCCTTCGTTTTCTCTACACTCACTTGAAGTCCTGTCTTCCTTCGCTGCCTCACCTCTTCTGTCAACGTGTTGGTTTTCGAGTTTGTGCAAAAACACATTAGACATTAATCCTCATCATCGAAATGCAAATCTTCTACGGCCTTTTCATCGGTCCAACGTATGACTCTCTTCTCTCTCCATACAGTTGTCTGCTGCATGATCCAGTCCAGTCAACCAGTTGATATTCATCATGGACTGCGAGTCGTGGACAGCTGTTTCGTCCTAGTGTGAGACTCCACCAGGGGTCCACCCTAAAACCTTCAGTTTCGTGCCAGGACGTTACCATTGAGTTACTGGGTTGGGACCCAATCATCCATATTTCCAGCTCTGTCATTTCACGATATAGCACGATCTCTATCCAATACCGTTGTCAAGTAACTGTCCTCATGTTCTACTTCATTCTGCCCAGCTCATTTACTTTGACCTTACAGCATCCAACTAAGTTTCTAATGACAAGTGATTCCCATCTCAGCTTTTCTAATGGTTGAATTATTAACATCTAGGTCACTAATCTATTATCAAGTGAATCTTTGAAAAAATTTTCCTACATAAAATTTGACGGAAAAAACAGAGAAGTGGAGTCCAGTTAATACTCAATCTTGAAGCTCAGCTAACAGATTGCTGGGTCGGTGGTTATCCAGAGGTGTCTGATATAAATTTCACAGCATCTCAGATTTTCATCTCACCTTTAAAAATCCCTTAGAATCAGTTAGTTATATCAGTCTACAAAAAGATGGTTATCTTAGTTAATCTTAATAATAAACAGAGAAATATCATTTTCATATTTCGTAATTTATTGCACAATTGACTAACAAATAAAATAAAACATCAGTTCATTCACTAAATGTCTCTTTTCTTTTTAATATAGAGTCAAATACTACTATCTGAAGCTCATCCAAATGTGAAATTATCCAAAGATATATTCTACAGCTTGATTGTAAAATCATCTGGTAGTGCTACTCGACTAATTAGATTATTGATGAAAAGTTTTTTTACACAAGATGAATTAGCTGCTTCATCATTATCTGGTGAAGGTATATACAAACAACGTCTGGAACCAAGTGTAACAGAAGCTATAAAAAGTAAATGAATCTCTTTTTTAATTTTTCTTAAATACAATAATAATAATAATTATTATTATTAGAATGAGTTTTCTGATGCTCAAATTATTATTTTGAAGTTTTAAGATTTTCAAAATCAGTATTTACTATGTAAATTCTTGGTCACCGGTGTTATATTTATCTTGATGACTAGTCATGGGATTCAGGTGGATGTACCTTCACCTCATTGGGTATTGTTCCCCTTTGAGACTCATCAGTCTGAACGCCAATACATTATTCATAAGGCCACTGGGGCACTTACTAGGTTGGTTGAGGTAATCAAAAAGCTGGCTTTGACCTAACTTTACCAGGTCATATGTGTAATAGTAATAATGGGTAGTGGCTAGCAGTGGAATCCAGGATGCAGACTCGTCAGCTGGATTTACCCACGTCCTCGTGAGTGATGTTGTTCCCACCGGGACCCGGACTCGGGAGTGTATGTAATACCTGTACAATAGGATAGGATGGTGTGTTGAGCGGATATGTTGAGATAGTTGAATTCTTTAAAATCGCTTTGAAACTTGTCAGGCAACTGAATCAATTGGAAAAACTTGTAAGTGAAATTACTCAAAATATTTTTTCTTCCATAGAGAGAATACAAAATTGAGATATGAAGCAAAGTTGGAATTCCATATAGGTGTTTCTTGTAAATGCTAAAATTTTTTAACCTATAAAGTCTAGTCTACTTGAAAACCATGAAACAAATGTATAAGTAATGTGTGGTTTACGATTACCAAAATGAATTTTGTGCTCACTACATAGGCACCTGTTTTTATGACAAGATTGAAAATAAATCAATTCACTTGAATAGAAGCAGTTTCGTGTAACCATAACTAAGGTCACTAGTGGGTTAGTCTCCTTCGAGCTGTGAGATATTATCATGAATGTTTCATCACCAGGCTTGTTAACATTCTCAGAAGTAACTTTAATGCTGAATATATCATCGTCACACAAGAAGTGATTGCCATAGCTCGGTGGTGTAGTGGATAACGCTCTGGTACTTGAAGCGATCGCTTTCGAGTCAAAATCCCGGTGGGAACAATATCACTCACTGGGATGCAGATACATCCAGATGACGAGTCCCAAATAGGACGAAATGCGCCTACTGGACTCCACTGCTAGCCACTATTCATCTTTACTATTAGTAAGAAAGCCTAAATCTTCTCATGTATATCAGATCAGCACTTGATGGTTTCATCGATAAGCGAAACTTTATTCAGCAGTATACACCAAGATGTAAACTTTTATCTAAGGAGTGCATAACATGTGTGCCACAAAACCAGTTTGAGGAAGCTTCAAAGTATAATTACAATATTGATTTTTTAGGACTGAAATGGATAGCTTACTCATAACAAGTGACTCATGAATGACAATACTGACAGCTAATATTTCTTAGTAAATGATAGTTTGTTGGAGGTAATGGGCAGGAAGCCCTAGACCTGGGTTTCATATTTTTTGGCACAACAAGGTGTCAACAAGGTGTATCTGCAACCTCGACGGAAATGATATCCCATCTGAGATTGGAACCCGCGATTCTGAGCCTCCTAGCTTGGTTGTCACATTGTAAGTATGATCGATAGGATTCGGTCTGTACTCAGGGCTAACTAGGCAACATGAAATTAGTTGCACTTCCGTGACCAATCAATAAATGTTTCCTAGTTTATCGTCAGATGTTTGACTCAAGTACGGCAAGGAAATAAATGCATGGGTTGTAAATTATTTTAATAAATACTAACAGAAAGCCTGTTAAAAATAAACTTCTTGGTAGTAATGATGAATAGAGGCTAGCAGGGGAATCTACGACAAGGACTCATCAGCTAGATGTACCTTCACCCCTGTGAGTAGTGTTATTCCTACTAACACGAACAAAGAATCAATCTCTTTAAGCATCAAAACGTTATCCATTTAACCAATGAGTCACTATAGCTACACATGTTATCAGTGTAGTATAGTTTAGGTAGTATAGCTTGTAACTCCCCATCGCTGACTGACCAAAAGTGGTCCGCCATTATTGGCATATATGTTCTTGCTCAGTTCCCTCGATATTATTGATAGTTGGTGGTTAGTAGTGAAGTCTGTGACACGTATTACATCCTATTCAGGATTCGTCAGCTGGATTTACCCACCTCCCAGTGAGTGATATTGTTCCTACTAACAGTTGAGCTAAGGATGAGTTGTATATTAAACTTCTAATCAGGATTTACCAAAAAATTAGCAAAAATCCATACAGTTGATCATTTTTTAATTCTTTGGATATTCATTAATGATAATCATGGATGGAAGAATGAAGTACCATAAAATGTTAGTTCAGCACAAGTGTTCCATAAAAATAATTTAATTCTTAATATCCCTGTGCTATGTACCAAGGAACGAGTATATCTGTTATTTAAATAACCAATCCCGTCCAGTGCTCCCACGGTTATTTTGTTCCTCCAACTGATATCAGTCTACGATGAATAACAACTTCAAATCCCCTAAAAATGACATAAACTGCCATATTTACTATTCAGTAATATATCAAACACTTAATTTATTTTAGAAGTAGTATTCATCATGGAATGACATCAGTTGGGGAACCATTGATAATCTCGAATCACTCGACAGCTGTTTACTCCTACTATGGGACTCATCACCAGTACACATCCACCACCCAACTAACGGTCAAACTCAGAATCTTCAGGTTTCAACGCGAACGTGCTAACCATTCAGCCACTGGGTCAGTCCATCATGAATACTACTTCTAAATTGAAAAAACATCCCATTCATCTCAAAAATACACCACCGTCTACTGCTCATTAGTAACTTGCTTCCAGATGGATATCACGAGGCTCTAATGAGAAGCCGTGACATGTGGGGTCAACCAGTCGGAAGTGAAGTGGATGCTAACTGAAGACCTTGAGTGGCAGTTGCACTACGTCGTGAACTGACAGAAGTTGGAAAATGCGAACCACTGGAAACCGACCCAGTGGCTGAATGGTTAACACGTTCGCGTTGAAACCTGAAGGTTCTGAGTTTGACCCTTAGTTGGGTGGTTGGTGAGTACTGCTGAGGAGTCCTATACTAGAAGTAAACAGTTGTCCAGTGCTCCGAGATTATCAATGGTTCCCCAACTGATGTCATTCCATGATCAATACAACTTCTAAATTAATAAAATCCCTATTCATCTCAAAAACGCAATACCTAATTTATTATCTTACATTTGAAGTGACATTTAACACTATAAGGAAACAATGACGTAAGCATGAGAATTGAAGTGGAGCAAGTGCCAAGGTACTTAATAACAAATATAGGGGTATTTGACCTTGGAAGTTATGTTTTATGATGGTCAAATCTACATAGTTTTATCATCAGTTTATCCCACTGGATGTAATATTACTATGCAACTCAGCCTGGTTTATATTTATGTGTTGATTTATGTATGCATGTATGTGTGTGTGTGTGTGATGGTTGACGATACTACTTGGCTGTCTAGAGGAAAGTAGTTGAAATAAAAATAAAGTTATTTTTTTTGTAAATAGTGTTCTTATTCCACCACTACCCAAGTTCACTATGGGGACAGAAAGTTTCTAAGTGGTTTTCTTCATAAGATGTCATTAATTGGAGAACCGAAAAAAGCTTAAGAGAATTGCAAAGCTGTATCATTCTAGTTTTGGACTCCTGAGAACTTCATACTCACGATCTTTAAGTTTTATGGTGAACAATTTTCTAATGTACTGTTCAGTTGAAATCCTTATTGTCTAATCTTTGTAAATCATTTAAGTATACCTGGATCATCTTTGAATGCTATCGGTAACCATTTATCCTTAAAGTCGATTTGATAACATGGTTGTTATGAACTTTGATGGTTATAATTACGATACCTCATAGAATCACTTATGCGTACTGCTAAGACGTTCCACTCTTGAAAAGAAGTTGCTATGCACTAACACCCTAACCACTATCTATGATTGATGGAAACTTTTTAAAAAACTAGTCAACCCTTCCTATCTCAAGTTGTTATTCATCGTAGACTGAAATCAGTTGGAAGGACAAAGAAAACCTGGGAGCACTGGACATCTGTTTCGTTCTGGTATGGGACTCCTCAACAGTGCTCACCCACGACCCCGCTCCCCTCGGATCGAACCCGTGACTTTCAGGTTCCGTGGCTAGCACGTTACCATTGATAAAAATTTATCAGTTCTCATTTTCGCTCACTTTTAAGTAAGTTGTGTTTTTTATCGAATGAAAGAAAGTACATATGAAGAAGCTGTTTTCTTTCGTTTTGTTTATTATTCGTAAATTACCCTTATTCAGTTCATTATTATATTAACAGCATGATTACATATGTTGAAAGTATAACAAAATTTACGATATTCATATACAACTGTCATAAGATTTTTGTTTTACAAAAAGAACTTACTTGAGTACAACATTACCTAGTCACTTAGTGTTGAGTTGTGTTCATCTGTGTCTACGTGTATATGTATGTATGCGTGTGTGTGTGTGCGTGCCCATAATAAACGTATTTAGTGTGAATGCACTTGAAAAGAAAGTGATTACTTGTCCTCAAAAATATTATGTAATGATATATATATATATACTTCTAGTCTCTGTAATCATGATGTTATATGCAGCCATACTAAGTACTCAATTACATCATTATCTTAACAGCTTTATGGCTTGTTTTTGCAAAGGATTGTAATAAAAACAGTCGTTTTTTTTTCGTATAGTAATCAGGTTCCAAAACGCCGTAAAACTGACTCTAAATATTAAACTTATATTGGTGATGAGTACCCGGTAAGTAGCGAAGACAATATTATGGTTAAGTACTCATTTGCTATTCAAAGTGTTTATTATTCAATTCTCTGTTGATGATATTGTCAACCTTCACTAAATGTCCATTAAAAGTAGAAGACTTGAAGCAATTACAGCATTTCTATCATGGATGTCTTCGTAGCGTTGCTCGCATTTGGCAGAGTCACCATGTGGGCAATACTGATGTT